GTATCTTAAGACTATGAATTTGTGTTAAAATTTTCCTGTATTTTCTCGTGGATGCTGCGTCTAAATATCTCAATGCAAGCACACACCGTTATTTAGACGTTGTCAGTCATGAGAGTAACTAATGTTTGTTAAAGTTGATAAATGCCTTAAGTTTATTCTTTAATTAACTGTTTTGTAAGATCTTGTGGTGAAACTAAAATAAGGTTTAAATATTTGTAACATTGCATTAAACTGTAAGAAGTTAATTAAGTTTAAAAAATTTCTACCTCTATTATAAAGATTGAATTTTACTTTTCCTGAAATCAGATTAACAATTTGAGAAGTAGGTTAATTTTTCCTATCAACTAATGTGCTTGAGGTAACGCATTTAGGCAAATATAACTTGAATTAGTTTTCATTGACCTTTCATTTTCTCTAATTCCCCTTTTCTTGACTTAGTTGATAAACAGAATTTGATTTAGTAGAGTATTTATTTAGTTGATCAAAATTGCTGAAGCGGAAAGGATGTGCATGCAAGCACATTTAATGACCTAGGGCTATTTGGGAAATTTGGTTGAAGCCAGGAGAGTTATCATGCTTAGGCTATTCTTCTTCGATAACTGAGAATTAGTCTGCACATAGCAGTAAATGCAATAAATTTAGTTTCTTGTTGATTAAGTTGATATAACTTATTAAAGTATTTTCCTTTTCTTTCTTTTCTTTAAATCCATTTTTTCGTGGTAAAACTAAAGTTAGGCTTAAATTTTCCTAAAAATTATTAATTATTGGTTATGTAAATTCTAAAATCCATCTTTCTTATTATCATTTAGCTCACTTTTCATACTTAATAAATTCTCTCCATTTTCATTGTATTCTGTGTGTGCATGATGAGTTTTTTTGACACTTTGTATTCTTATTTTGTACAATGCACTGATTTTTTTTTTTTTGTATATATATCTTGGCAGTCCTGGGAATGATTTGGTTAATTGTTGTGAGAATTGGTTATCTTTTCTGTAATTTCCCCCTCTTTTCACCAGCTGGTATATAGTAAAATGTATATTAAAATTAGGGTTTTCTTTTGTTAGATAATGAATTCATTTAAATTGTCTGACATTTCATTGTCCTTAAATTCTCATTGTTAAGGTCAGGATTACTTTATAAATTTATGCACCATTTTGTTTCCTTTCATTCATTTCAAATCATCAGTAGCCTTTAATAATATGTGAATTCAGTCCTCAGGTTAATTCTTTCTTAAAAAAAAGTAGATGTTAATTTTTTTCTCTCGTGGGTGCTTTGTCTAAATTTCTCAACTCAAGCACACACCGTTATTTAGACATTGTCATTTATGAGAGAAAAAGTCTCATGGTTGTATTGAATTTAGAATTGGTAAATATTTTAATTTTGATTTTAATTAATTTAATTTCTTGAGATAAATTCTTCTCCTTCCTTGTATAACAGTATACATTGGAACAAGATTTCGGTCATTCTAAATTTAGGAGTTTCATTGTTAATTAGAGTATATCTACGTATTTTCCACCTTAATTTATTTCCCATCTCTTTAAGTTAATTAGTTAAAAATTATTTTGTTTGTGTTTTGTGCATTAAATTATGTTTTGTAATATATTTATATTGTACTGTAAAGTGTTTTTGTGCATCTCAAGGGGTCTCTTAAGTGAATTTTTGATTAAATAGGACCTAAATTTAGATTTATAATTTTAGATAAATTTGGTAAATTCAGTTTTCTTTCTTTATTTCAGCCTGATGTCTTCTTTATAATTGTATTGATTCAAAAAAATTCTTGTTATATTTTCATATGAGTGTGGTTTATAAATATCTCAATTAACTAGCTTTATTATCTAGTTTAGGTACAATTATTTTATTCTCATTTCCACATTGAGGTTAATTTTTCAGTTTTTCAGGTCCTTTATAATTAGGCTCTGTTCCTGAGATACCACTATTTTTTGAGTCTATGAATGCAGTGCTTTGTTGTATTAATATATCAATGTATTATGTTATAAATGAAACAATTGTTGCTGATAATTGATTGCTGATCAACGCAAGGCTTGCTATTTTCATTCATCAATTTGACATTTCCTAATCGATTGTTGCTGCAGAAATTTAAAAACTTTCCAAAGTAAAAAGCCTCTGTACAATTTGCCAGGTTCATATACCTAAAATGATCGAAACGCGAAACCAAGAACGGTTACTAGCTTGGTTGAAGGAACGTACGTGTTAGCAGTACTGTTATATGATTCAAATTTATATTTTCCTCAAAAACGCAACATTCAAAAAAGTAGATAATTTTTTTAAAACACAGATAATTCCTGTCATATATATTGATTTTAAGACTTCAGTTATAAGCAATGATTGATTATGAAAATTTCTGGATCTTTCAACACTATAAGAGTATTATTGTATTATAATAAGTTATAATCACTATAGCTGTCTGTCCATTATTTGTCCTGTATTCAGATCAAACATTAAAAGAGGATGCTCTTCCTGCTGCATTTGAATTATATCCTATGCTTAAGTACTTTGTAAGGTTATCTTATTTGCTCTCAGCTTGTTACAAGTGTTATCCAAACCAGATTTGTACATGATGCTTCTACTGTTGTGTTATTCAAACCAATTTGTACTCGACGCTTCCACGGATGCTTCCTTGTATGCTGTAACCAAACCAAATTTGTATATGATGCTGCCACATCTGACCTATATTTCTTGCTTCAGTGGCTCTTTATTCTTAGCAGTTAGGTTTTTGTTCTGATCAAAACTTGTACAGATGATGTTTCTTTGGATGTTGAGTCTGATGCTGAGTCTGATGACGAGTCTGATCCTGAGTCTGATGATGAGTCTGATGATGAGTCTGACATTAGTCACTTACAAACCACACTTGCATGTATGCTGTCTCAATGTTGCATCTGCTGCATACATTTAATAGATAATGTATTTCACCTACATTTTAGGTGTGATTACTCAGAAAAGAGACAGAATTTATTCTTCAGGTGTTCTATATTTTGGTATATAATTTTTTTTATACAAGAATATGCAGTATTTGCATTGTATCATGTGTGTCCTTTGTTATTTTGTATGTTACATTTAGAGATTGTATATTGTTAGTCTCATCTGCACACACTCTTCTGTATGTTTGTCTGCCACAACCCTCGCCTCGCCTCAATTCACCTCAGCCTGCTAGATGTACAGTAAGTGGATTCTTGTCCTGTACATGGTCATTATGCCACTTAATTGATGATGAGCTTGTAGCTCTACTGGTCAAAGACAAAAAGAGATCATGTGATGGTAAGGTTCTGTCGTCAGTCGTCTGTGTTTATCTGTTATGTACATGTAATTGTTTGTATGTTAATCTGTAAAAAACAAAATTTATGATTAAGATTCAGTGTCGGTTTTGGATTTAATCCCTACAAGTTTGGAATGATTTCAATTAAATTTAATAAACTACAAGTAGGCAACAAAGTTTAATTATAATTAAACTTCAGTGTCGTTTTGGGATTTTGACCGACAGACTGTTGAAATGATATAAGAAAACTTGCCACATAAAGAGATTTATCCAACTGGATCATTACTAAATTGATATTGATATTGTAAATTGATATTGCCATAGTTTAAGCCCAATAAAGTACTTTCCTCTAGCTTCCTTCATTAAACCAGTAGAGCTTAGAATAAGCCACAGTCAGAGACTTCTAAAAGTCTTCATTGTACAAAAAATACAAAAAAAAAAAAAAAAAAAATACAAAAAAAAACAAAAACAAAAAAATACACAAAAAAAAAAAAAACAAAAAAAAAACAAAAAAAAAAAAACAAAAAAAAGAAAAAATGGTGGGTTATGCTTGTTGTATGTAGTATAATGTGTGTGGTTATGAATAGGTGCATGTGTATATGTGTATGACAGGTGTACATTCATGTGTGGGTAATGATTTGTGCAAGTTATGTTTGTATGTGTTTATGTTATGTATATAATTATATATGCAGCAGTGTGCTCTTTATACAGTGACTGAACAACATATCTTGATGATACAACATCTTGGTTAACGTACAGACCTGACATCAGATTAGATTATAAATAAGGATTTTTTTGTTCAAATTAAAATGCATGAATCATATGATATGCTTCATGAATTATCTTCATCCTAAAGATCTACCTTTTTCCTTTTTAAATTTAAAATTATTAATGTTAACTAATCTAAAGTCAGAGGTCATTTAGTTTTCTGCTATTCTACATCCAATGGTTCTCTAAAGATATTTTAGAAATCTTGCAGTTTTCAAATTATGCACAAAGGTTGGACTTGATTTACAATCATGACCTTTTAAAGTCAAAATTTAAATCCCCATATTTCACTTAAAGTGTCATGAATCAAAATTTCTTAATTGTCCATGACTCGAACCACTGCACCATGTGAGTGCACTAAATATAGGGTTGGGAGGGGGTGGGGTGATTAAAATCTGTTTTCTAGTATTTGTCAGGTGATGAGACTATCCAGTCCATCAGGAGCTGCAGACTATGATGAGTGTTTCATTTGATTCAGTTTATACCCTATATTGTGAAATGATGAATTCAACATTTATTTTGTGTAAGTTAACTTAAGTTTCTTTAATTGCATGTTCCTTTTATATATCCATTCCATTAAATGTAATCTTCACATGATTTTTTGTAATAATACTTTTATAGGAATTTTCTTGTCATTTTTTGTCAGTTATTTTGAACTGTACTAATCTTGTGTCTTAGTTTCTATCTGTGACAGGCTCTCGGGAGGGATGGCAGGACCAAACGAGGAAGAGGAGACAATTGCGAGAATTAGGATACAGGGTATACACAATGCCAGCGTGGACCAACATTGGAAAAAATAGTACCCGGTAAGAAGGTGAACTTTTCATTTCGTGTTCTGTTTCTTCTTAATCAAAGGAAGCACTCATTTGACCTTTAGATTGCACTCATTTGACCTCTTGATTGACTTTCTTTGATAATAGCTATAGAATAAAAGTTACACAAGTCTTGATCTTATTGTAGAGAAGAAAATCTCTCATCAAGAAGAGTGCAGAAAGGGGAATCAACTGCAGCCAACCATGGAAGACAGGGTAAAATACCAAAAAATGAACTCGCTTCCTTATAAGGACCTATATTTGTTAAGCTTGTCCACACTTCACATCTACATTAATATTGAGACCTCTTTTGATCTTATTTTGATCTTATAGCTCTGTTTTACAGAATTGATGACAGCTGTACCCCACTACCCTTAAGACCCTTAGGTTAAGAAGAGTTCATCACCTGCCAGCAAGAATACCAAGAGAAGGATAGTCTTTGGCCAACCCAAAAGGTTACCAAATGGTAAGGCAGCCTAACTCCATCTCTTACACTGGATCAATTTACATTGCTCTTTCGAATTCATTTAATAAAATTTTTGTACCTTTGCAGTATAATCTTCCCACACATTTTCTGTTAAGGAGGGATTCTTTCTGGTTTCTGACAACAAAACATTTTGTATATATTTAGAGAGAAAGATTTAAAAGATCATATTTCTCTGTCCTCATAATTCTACATCTATAAATAGAAATGATAAACTGAATTTGAAATCTTGCATGATTATTATAATTTTTGGCAGATGGTAGCATATGAAAATATTTCCTTTTCTGCTTTCAAAATTACTACAGAACAATGAATTCAGGTAAAATTATTAAACAATCAAAGACTTTAAGAAATTTTCTGATGTAATTAGAATTAATAATAGGCTTTATAAGTTTAAAATATATAAAATAAATAAATTTTTCCAAGTCCATACCCCCCTCCTTTTGATTTTCAGTTATTAAATTTTATGCAATATAGTAACAAAAATGAACTTAATTGCCAACCATTATGCAGGTTATTCTAGATTCCTTATTTTATATAGGGTTGGGACAATATATCAAGATACTGATAATATCTGTTCTGTGTGAAGACAATTAATACGCATATCAATACATATGTAAGAAATATCGAAATATCACAAAAAGTATTTCTGTTTTATGTTTTCTTTCTTAACTTAAAATTTTGGGTTTAATATATAAAATAAATGTGCTAGATATAGATACAAATATGAAATACATAATAATTAACACCACATGTGTAAAATGATTTTGTTTTACAACAGATAAATAAATTATTCTTATTTGTGAAGAAATGTTTTGTCCATTTCAATACAAAAAGGACATTTTATATCCAATTCAAAATATCATGATACACATCGTATCATGGCTCAAATTTTGTGATATGATAGAAAAAAATTAAAAGTTGTCATCCCAGCCCTATAATTTTACATGCATGAGTACTTTAAAATACAGGGAGATGACTTGTAGATGTCAAATAGTGAGATCAAGCTTTATTCAGACGGATTCCGTCTTTACTCTTCGCCTATTCTCCGCCTGGATTTTTTCGTACAGGAATGTGTATTTCAGTCATGTAAAATAAGAGCGGAAAATTTTATTTTGGGAGCAGCTACCAATGCTCGTCATGAAATTATGCACTAATTAATTCTACAGTATAGGTAGCATATAGATAAACCACAGAGAAAAATACATTCATCATATTCTCAATGTATTACTTGAAAATTATGTGTTATTTTTAGCTCACCTCAATGAAGTTGGGGAAGCTTATGTAATACCCTCGGTGTCTGCGTCGGTGTCGGCGTCCCAGGTTAAGGTTTTTGGAGCAGTTTCCTTTTCAAGTACTTCTGTGGCCTATATCAGTCAGAGATGCATGGAGGATGCTTCTAGTGTGTTTCATTGTACCAGTCAAGGTTTCAGATGCTGCAATTTCAGCTAAAGAATGCCCAGGTTAATGTTTTTGGAGCAGGTTAAATTTTTGGAGCAGGTCTCATTTCCAAGTAACTATAAGCCCTTTATTACTAAACACATTACTGAACTTGCTTTGGATGCTGGATCTGACCTACATTTTCCGGATGAGTGACTAGGTTAAAGTTTTTGGAGTAGATCTCATTTCCAAGTAACTATAAAGCCTATATTGACCAAACTTGCATGGATGATACTTCTAAGGATGCATACTATTGGACTTGCTTCGGATGCTGGATCTGACCTATATTTTCCCGATGAGTAACTAGGTTAAAGTTTTTGGAGCAGATCTCATTTCCAAGTTACTATGAAGCCTATATTGACCAAACTTGCATGGATGATACATCTAAGGATGCACACTACTGGACTTGCTTCAGATGCTGAATCTGACCTATCTTTTCCGGATGAGTGACCAGGTTAAAGTTTATGGAGCAGATGTCATTTCCTAGTAACTATAAGCCCTATATTGACCAAACTTGCATGGATGATACATCTAAGGATGCACACTACTGGACTTGCTTCGGATGCTGAATCTAACCTATATTTTCCGGATGAGTGACCAGGTTAAAGTTTTTGGAGCAGATGTCATTTCCTAGTATCTATAAACCCTATATTGATCAAACTTGCATGTATGATACATCTAAGGATGCACACTACTGGACTTGCTTCAGATGCTGGATCTGACCTACATTTTCCGGATGAGTAACCAGGTTAAAGTTTTTGGAGCAGATCTCTCATTTCCAAGTAATTATAAACCCTATATTGACTAAACTTGCATGGATGATACATGTACATCTAAGGATGCACACTACTGGATTTGCTTCGGATGCTGGATCTGACCTACATTTTCCGAATGAGTGACTAGGTTAAAATTTTGGAGTAGATCTCAATTCCAAGTAACTATAAGCCCTATATTGACCAAACTTGCGTGGATGATACATCTAAGGATGCACACTACTGGACTTGCTTCGGATGCTGAATCTAACCTATATTTTCCGGATGAGTGACCAGGTTAAAGTTTTTGGAGCAGATGTCATTTCCAAGTATCTATAAACCCTATATTGACCAAACTTGCATGGATGATGCATCTAAGGATGCATACTATTGGACTTGCTTCGGATGCTGGATCTGACCCACATTTTACGGATGAGTGACCAGGTTAAAGTTTTTGGAGCAGATGTCATTTCCAAGTAACCATAAGCCCTATATTGACCAAACTTGCATGGATGATACATCTAAGGATGCACACTACTGGACTTGCTTCAGATGCTGGATCTGACCTACATTTTCCGGATGAGTAACCAGGTTAAAGGTTTTGGACCAGATCTCATTTCCAAGTATTTATAAGGCCTATCTGAACCAAACTTGCATGGATGATGCATCAAGGGACGAACAATCTCAAACTTGCTTCAGATGCTGGATTTGACTTACATTTTCTGGATGAGTGACAAGTTTTAAGTTTTCAGATAAGTCTATTCCCAAGTAACTGCAAGGCCTATTAGACCAAAATTGCATAAATGTTGCATCTAGGGATGCACACTCCTAGATTATTAGTTTAGTGTGGGACTTTGCCTTACTTAAAGACAACATTCGTTGAGGTGAGCTCTGTAATCTCTGATTACCTATGTTTTAAGTTTTCAAATCAAGATACATGTATTTCAGAATCAAATTTGTTTCATATTCATTTTCAGATTTGTTTCATATTCAGAAACATCTCTGATAGGATCTTAACTGGGTCACACTTTGACCTCTTGACTTTCATTTGATAGGATGAAGAGAAGCAAGGCCAATCAGAAGCACTGCACTACTTGACAGCTGGAGAGCCCGGCAAAGGTTAAGTTACCAGACATAAGGTGAGCTATATTCCTAATTAACATTAGTTATCCTGGAGGAGCTAGACATGAATTGCCCTGCAACCTACATATAGAAAGTACATTGATATGTACCTGCTGTGAAGTGTACAGCTTTTTCTGCTGCTGACTAGGACAGACATGTTTTTGTCAGCTGCATTATTGTATAGTACTGTACTGTACATTGTAAGACGCAGATTATTTTACCATAGTGTTTCTCTGTTTCCACCATCACTGTATATCCAGGTGGTATTATAGTTATTATAGATATACATTATTGGCACTGCGAGCAGGGTATTTTAGTTTGACAGTGGGGTCAATGCTTTGCCTGCACGTGTTTATGCCTGTTGCTATCTTGGATTATTTCCGAGGTATAAGATAGCAGTGTTTATTTTATTTACTTTTGTACGTATGGTTATACTTGTGTTTGTAGTTAAGCAGGTTAGCCACTACATGTAAAGAAGAAGGTATGGTTTTAGCTTTATTGTGCCCTAAAAATTTAAAGTTTTCAAAAAGTTTTGAAACTGGCTTAAATATTAGTTGAGTATATGACTGTAATAAATCAGGAAAGAATATAGCATGATGGAGTACCATTCTGGATATATGAGGTCATTAATTTGATGCATTTCTCTATTTTAAACAGAAAAAGCCTCAAAATGACCCATTTCAAGGGTTATTTTCCTTAAGAAAATAGTGTCCACAGCCGTCGCCCACGTTAATTTTTAGATATGTTGTGTAAAATTCTTTGAAAAATCACATATCTCAAAATCTTTGTGGGCGATGCCTGTGGACAATATTATCTGAAAGAAAATTCCATTGAAAATTGATGTCTCCTGCAACTTTTTAAGAAAATACGGGAAAATGCACAAGTTTATGACGTCACAATTAGCATTTGGAAGGTCATGTGAGAAAAAAGATTTGTATGATCTTTCTGCATGGAATTTCAATAATTCAAAAAGCATGAGTTTTAATTTTTTTACATCATTTTTATTTTTAAGAAAAACACAGGGCAAGATTTGTATTGAAACCGTACCTTGTTCTTTATATTTTGCCCTTTTGTGGGTTGTTGATTCAAATGGACTGTTATTTCATTTCCTTTTGTTTGGGAAGGGGGACTTAATTAGAGGCCTAGTTTGGACTGGGTCACTCGGGTTGGGGAAAATGGCTAAGAGGGCACAGTCCGCGCAAGTCAGGGGTGCCTTCTTTAAGCTTGATGTTTGCTCCAGGTGTGTGTAGCACCCCAATGCCCCAGGGGGAGGGTGCCCCCGATATTGTCACCCAGTTTGGGGAGCAGAGACTGTTGCAATTGATAGCTGATTTTGATGGGTTGGAGAGATGCAGTTTCCAGTAGCTTTATTCTCTGATCCAGGAATGACATACATTCCTGAAGGGGGTTGTTGACCACATTCAAGGGGAAATAAATCAATTTCAAGGAAATATTTCCCAAGTTCAGGGTGACTTTGATGAGGTTAACAGGAGGGTAGATAGCCTTGTTCAAGATATAGGGGTCTTGTGAGGAGACATTGGCTTATTGCGCATCAATATGACTCCGATGGGATTTGATGAAAAGAATATGGGTTCCATGGAAAGAAATATGATGGACAACTTCACTTACCTTGGCACCAATGTCACCAAAGACGGCGGAGGTACTGCTGGCATCAGGAAGAGGAAGAGGATAGCCTTGGTCAGAGCATCCTTTAGGAAGCTAGCCAACATCTGGAAGGCCACAGACATCAGTAGAAAGATCAAAGTCTCCCTCTTCAAGAGCCTGGTCCTCTCCCTATTGTTATAGTAATGTGAGACTTGGAATCTTACCTAGACAGAGGAAGAGAGGATTGACATCTTTCAGACCAAATGCCGCAGAATGATTCTTAAGGTCAGATGGCAGCAGCATATCCCAAACAAGACAGTTCTGGAAATGGCAGGAGTAGAAAACATCAGTGACAAGGTGAGGAGGAGGAGATGGAATTGGATTGGCCATGTGCTGAGGAAGGATCCAACAGATGACTGTGTTGTCAGATGACTGTGTTGTTGCCCTCAGGTGGACACCTGAGGGGAGAAGGAAGCAAGACCGCCCCAAGACATTATGGCGGCAGATGTTGGAGGTGGAGCAGAATGATGCAGGCTGGAAGTCTTGCATCATGGCATGCCTTGCAGCCTCAGACTGGCCCTAGTGGAAGAGTTATGTTCAGGCCCTGTGTGCCCTCTGGAATTAAGATAAGACAAGAAAGAAATACTCAGATAAGCAAGATTACTCAAATGCTTGCAGGACCAAGTTCACTGACAGTCAGCCTGTAGTGACTAGTAGCCAGGGGAGTACCAGGGCATAGCAGGCCTGTAGAGCAGACTTTAAGTATTGTATTGCATCCTGGATCTGTTTTGTTCATAATCCTGAGGTCAGGTTTGTATCTTCAACTCAAGGTCAGTCACTTTCTTAAGTAGGCTACAGAAGTTTGGGTTGAGGATTGCTGACTACCATCATGTTTGGCTCATTCTTTTCAGAGGTCACACTTATTGGGAGATTTCCAGTAGATCCCAACATAGACCCATCCATTCCAGGTCATTTTACTTGGGTAGTGGGCATGCACTTGATCACACTCACTGCATCTGTTTATTCTAGTGAAGGTAAGTTGGATAATCGGAGCTCTGGCTACTATGATCATTGGTAGGGCAGTCGGCAGCACTGGGGGAGGGGGGTTCAGTCATTTGTTCCTGGAATAGGAGGTTGGCCTGGGGTATCTCTAGGTCACACTTAAATGTCTATTGCAGATACCCAATTTCTGACTTTAATTCCTCCTGGTACACAAAGCAGCATGAACTGAAAAATACCAGTCGAAGTCAAGTGGATGAAGTACAATAGGGATGAAGATTGGGGACCATTCTATTCAAAATTCTCCACAATTGCTGAATACCGTCAGTGGAGTGACTGATCTTCTGTTTGCCCTTAGTCTAACATTGGAGGGGGCAGTGCTTAACTACTTTGATATTATGCATCATAGGGGTGCTCTGTTAAGTTACGTTAAGTTTCCAGGAAATCATTCTAGGATGAAGGAGAGGTTTGGGAAAACTTCCTTAAGGGCAGCCTTGCCCCTGAAATTCAGCTTGATAGCCCAGAAGCCAGTAAAAAACAATAGAACAAAGGGGGATAGAGTTTTGGACACTGTCTATAAGGCATTTGGTGGTATAACCTTGCCTGAATATTCCAAGAACAGGTTACTGTAAGGTTTGCTCTTGGGGGGGGGGGCAGGGATAGTGAGGCAGGGCAACAGTTAATCAACAATACTCTGGCAGAGGCAGTAAAACAAGTAAAAACTCAGATAAGTCACTGAGCAGTGGTTTGTTGTCCATGTGCTGTTAGGCCCTGTAATCAGAGTGGGACCATGAAGGACAGAGAAATTCTCACTCTCCCACTGCTCACTGGTGTAAGCTCTTGGACTTCGAGTGCTGAGATAAGTCAGATGAGCAGAAATCTAGTTATCCCCCTTGTACTTTGCCAGAGTCAAGAAAATGAGCAAAAACTTTCCAGTTAAGTCACTGATCAGTGGTTCATCATCCACGTGCTGTTAGGTCCGTTTTCTCAGAGTTGGACAGTGAAGGGTGGAGAGATTCTCGCTCACCTTTTGCTCACTGGTGTAAGCTCTTGGACTGTAATTGCCAAGGTAAGTCAGAGGAGCAGAAAAATAGTTATTCTGGTGACTCCAACCGAGGGGTAGAGTCTGCAGCCCAAAGTGTAGACCTCAACAAAAAGTTCAGCCCTGAGGGTCAGTAGGACTAAGAAATTGGGACATGTACAACAGAAATGTGAATGTAAGAGCAACCTGGATTCCCTGTGCTTTTGTCTTAAAAAAAATCTGATATAGAGACCAAGCATAAGAGGTATTTCTAATTTTGCTCATAGAGTAACCTTTTCTGACATGCCAAATGTCAAGGCCACATATTCCCTCGGTAAAATCTGAGATCCAAGGTTTTAGCTCCTGTGCATTGTCTGTTTCTATCGAGATAGGGGAGCCAGTAAATCAATGCCATTATTGATACAGCTGCTGACATCAACATTATCTCATGGGATGTTTATGAGTCACTGAAGCCCCGGTCTGAGATCATAAGAGACACCTGTATCAGATTAGCTCGTGAGGGGGCAGGAAGGACTTGCTAGTGTCTCATAAGTCTTTATCTGAGAATCGGGGACTATGACTTTGCACACCAGATATGTGTTGGTCCTTTACAAGATGACATGCTCTTAGGGATAGATTTCCTACATGCATATGGTGCAGAAGTTTTGTGTGAAGCATGAACGCTCAAGATCAAGGGTATAGAGACAACCTTTAAAATGAGTACCAAGGCATCAGTGCAACTACTCGATGCGGGTTCAGCCCATAGGGTATGTGTTTCTCCACACACTGTGCAGGTGATTGAATGTGATTCAAGTGCATATATATTCCAGATTTTTTACTGGATTTACCAGTATTTTTCTGCATGGTACAGTAGCTTTACAGACTTATTATGCCGCAGGATGAAGAGCTAAGTTATGTATACTGAACCTGACAGCTAGAAGTTAAATAATTAAGACAGGTACCAAAGTCAGGAAAGCAGTCCCTGCTGTGTTTGTTTGCTACTCATTGGGAGTGTATGGACACCTTAGTGGAAAACTGCCAAGCTGGTAGATCAAGATAGCTCTGTAAGACCTGAAAAAGACAGCCTTTATAGCCAAGTAAGTATGGGTTAATTGAATTGACAAGGATGGGTTTTGGTCTGTGCAACACCCCTGTGACTTTCAATAGGGCAATCAAACTAGTGTCACCTAAACTGAACTGGAAAATAGCCTAAGCCTTCCTGGGTGATGTGTTATTGCTGGGGGCATAAGCACGAGCTCACCTAGACCACCTATGACAGGTATTTAAAAGATTCAGAGAGTATGGTTTGAAATTTAAATGTTGTAAGTGTGATCTATTCAAATTCAATTTTGAGTTCTTAGACAGAATAATGAGTGAGCAAGGAGTCAAGATACAGGATCAATACATTGAGGCAATACGTGACTCAGGCCTGTACATGTGATGTAAAAGATGTTGAGCATTTTCTAGGTTTTGCCTACTACCATCACAGTTTTATTCCCCAATTTTCTCATATTGATGTACGCTATATGCAGTTACTGGAAAAAGGGGTTTCCAGTAGGAAGATGAGCAGCAGAATACTTTTGAGGAACTCCTTAAGTTAATGACTAAGTGTCTAGTATTATCAATCTCGGTGGGGAATAAAGCCAAGTCCAGAAGGGGAAATAGAGAGAACAATAGGTAATGGCAGTGCAGTGCTATCAGTAGAGCAATGCTGTTG